CCCACCCCCCATGCTCCACAGTTTTGGTTTTAAACTTACTTTTGACTTGTTTTAGAGTATAAGATTTAAAATTAGGTTTGATCAACTTTCAAACTCAGGCTTAAATATGGTTTAAATAAGATTCATGCTGCATTCAAAAAAATTACAACATAGTTCGAACCTTTTTGGAACCAAAGTTCGACGAGCAATTGTGCTATTATTTGATGTTGTTTTGAATGAATTTGTAAATATATTTGATAAGGTTGGCCTCATCTTTCGATCCTTTTTTTAACCTAATAGCTATCTTTATTTTTTATTATAATTTTCTGCTATTTATTTACCAGACTTAAATATTTATAAGCCTCTCTCAACTCATTTGCATCTTATTTATTTTCTCTTGCTATTTTATAATACCATCGCACCCATTTTCTCAGGAAAATAAGCACATTGACAAGGAAAACAGCATTATTAATACTCAGTACAAAACATATTATGAAAGATTTCAAAAAATCTTATATAGAATAAACAACCACCTTCACTATTCCTAAGATTTATCATATTATCCGACTAAAAACTATTTTCTATCAAACTTGTGCATAAGAGAAAGATAGCTCTACCTAGCATTCAAATCCTAAAAAAGGAAGTTGGGCTGTCAAAATAGCCTGTTATTCGCGAGTAGCTCGTGTTCAACTCGTTAAGAAGCTCATGTTGGATTCCTTCACTGAGTTAACAAGCTGAACACGTAGCGGAACGAGCTCGTGTTCGATTCGTTCACTCAATAAACAACCACCTTCACTATCCTCAGATCTACCGTTCCGCTCTAGCATCAGTCTTTTATCTAGTAAATGAGTCATATCTAACACATGATTTGAGGACCCAAGCCCCAAATGTAATCATAACCAAATATCTGACACTTAAAACTATTATTTATATATATACAAAAAAAATCATTATAATTATTTTTTTTAAAAAAATGAAATATATTTTTCTATGCATAAAATTATGCCATCAAAAATTATAATCATAAATATCATATTTTAAATATTAGATATGCGAATATATAAAATAAAACTGTGCAGCATGTAAATAATTTAAGAAAAAAAATTCCCTCGACAAAATCGTGAAGAGCACTCAAAATAATTGTCTGCTACGAGTGACTCATCTTATCTGAAAAAAAAAAAATTAAAGAGAAAAAAAAAGCAGTCAGGCGTCAGCGTCTTGAAGCCGGATTGATCGTAGAGGCGAAGGATATCCACTTCGGCAATTGAATATTGACTGCCACCGTGGAATATTTTTATCTAATTATAAAGAGTTTGAAAATTCTATTTTTATTTTTTAAGAAGATTTATGTATATACCACTAATTTCTATGTATTTACATTTCTAACAATTACATGCCACTCTTCACGAAAAAGTGAATTAATTCTATTTTTAATTAAAGTGATGATACTTTTTATTTGATATAGAAATTCACATTGCATAAATAAATAAATAAAAAAGTTTAGATAGTAGATGCCTAGGTATATAACAATGGGGTGATATTTAAATATTATAAAAATTTTATTTTATATTTTTAATATGATACGCTTTTAATAAATTTTATCATTTGACACGAATCTTAATGTGATTAGCACAAAATCTTGGAAAGTTTTTTTAGCAGCACATTAAAGCTCAAATTGAAGATCATCCCGAACTTCAATTTCAACAAGCTTACAGTCAAACTGGTCAGCTTGATGAGACGAACTTATTGGCACTAAAATTGGCATAATCGATTCAATTCAAGCTCGAATTAAGGTGTTAAACAACTTTAGAAAGCTTTTCCATGAATAAGTGGAATGTCAAGTGGATTCCAAGTCTGAGAAGCTTAGTCAAACTGAGTGACTCGATGAGACGAATCCAACGATCATTTAATTCTAACATCCTAAAGACACTTAAATGTCCACAAAATGTAGTCCGATCGTGGAAATATCTCTGGATTTTTTAATGGTGTGGTCCAAATTTCTTCATTATGTATAGTGGAGGCCACTCCCAGACTTTATAAATAGAGTTTTACTAGTCTCATGAAAAAGGGGGCCTAAAACTGAAAGGGGAGAGAAGGAGTTGAATTTCAATGTTGTTTTGCATCGAAGACCCAACAAGCATTTCCCGCTCTAGCAACCACTGACCATCTTAGACCGCTGGCCAGCAATTATTAACCACTGTCAGTTGCCCCTGATCGTCAGGATCAATGGATTGTATATGGTAACAAAGTAAGGTGAAAGATTGTGCCTTGAATATGATACAATGACACGCCCCAAATACAATGTAAAGATGCACCCCAAAAAACAATGCAACCTGCATACGGTGCAATGATGCACCCTGCATACGGTGCAATGTTGCACCTCAAAGACGATGTAACGACACACCACTATAACATGTGACAAACTGTGACCTACATAGTCCACAACTCATGAAGCTGCCAACTCCAACATCTACGGTCTACAGACGTTATTTCAGCTCGCCACTATGACTTACGTGACCAATTATGATCTATGTGGTCCACAACTCCAATAACTCTTGACTCCGACCTCTCTAACCTACAGACATTATTATTGCTCACCACCACGACTTACATGACTAATTATGACCCACGTGGTCTACAACTCATTCAACTCCCAACTTCAACACTTGTAGCCTAAGAACATTATCAAAGCTCACCACTATGCCCTACGTGATAAATTATGCCCTTAGTTATCCACAACTCATACAACTCATAACTTTGACCTCTATGGTCTATGAATATTATTGCAACTCAACACTATAGTCTACATGACCAAATATGGTCTACGTGATCCACATCTCATGCAACCCCCAAATTCAACCTCTGGCCTTCAAAAGTTGTTGTGACTCACCACGATGTCTTACGTAACCAAATATAGTCTATGATGACCACAACACATGCGGCCCCCAACTTCAGCCTCTCGGGCTTACAAACATTATCATAGCTCACCACTATAGTCTACATAATCAACTACGGCCTCCTAGTTCATAACTTTTACAGCTCCTAACTCTAACATCAATGGTCTACTGA